AGAGGAGTCCTGCCAGATGCCACAGGCCTAGACCTTAAGGTGCTGGAGTGTGGCCAGGAGGCTGGAATTGGACCAATATGCTCATCTGTGTCAACAGGCCAGGTGCAGTGATCCCAGTAATCCCAGCATTTTGGGAAGCCGAGGCAGGAGGATCATTTGAGGCCAAGAGTTCAAGACCTGGGCAACACAGTGAGACCCTGTCTCCACAAAAAAAAAAAAAAAAAAAAAAAATTTGAGACAGAGTCTCCATCTGTCGCCCAGGCTGGAGTGCAATGGCGCAATCTCAGCTCACTGCAACCTCCGCTTCCCAGGTTCAAGCAATTCTCCTGCCACAGTCTCCTGAGTAGCTGGAACTACAGGCACGTGCCACCATGCCCGGCTAATTTTTTGTATTTTTAGTACAGACAGGGTTTCACCGTGTTAGCCAGGATGGTCTCGATCTCCTGACCTTGTGATCTGTGCTGGGATTACAGGCGTGAGCCATCACTCCTGGCCACAAAAATTTTTTAAAAAAACTGAACACTCCAATGTATGCCCACATCCAGCACTCACATCTAGGGGAAAAAAAAAAAAAAGGCCCCCTGTTCCGCATCTCCACCCTAGAGAAACCACACATGAGCACTGCACAAGCTGGGGGAGGGAACGATCCCTGTCTCTTTATTAAAGCGCTTTCATTTCTGGTGGTGTCCTTGCTGGCTGAGGTTGGAGGGTTGTGTGATGAATCCAGAACACTTTGAAGGCTTCGGGATGATGCTGCTCATGACCAGGAGGTTCCCACAAACGGAAGTGGTTAACGAGTGGCAAAAGAGGAGTTTTGAGGCATGTTCTAGGGACAAAAACGGGGGGAGGCATGAGAAGCCAAGGGCATCAAAGAGGGGCGGGCTCATCTTCCCAACTGACTGTTAGGAAGAGCTCCATAAAAGAGACAAGAAAGAGCCTTTTCACTCTTTAGACCCAAGGCTCATGTCTTTTTTATTTTTCTTAAGACAGGGTCTCCCTCTGTCAGCCAGGCTAGAGTGCAGTGGTGTAATCATATCTTCCTGCAGCCTCAACCTGGGCTCCAATGATCCTCCCACCTCAGCCTCCCGAGTAGCTGGGAGCACAGCTGTGCACCACCATGCCCGGCTAATTTTTTAAACCTCTTGATAGCAGGAACTCTGTTTCGGTTACTGCAACACCCCAGTCCCTCAAGCAGTGCTGACACATAATAAGTGCTTAATTTTTATTTTATTTTTTTGAGACAGAGTCTTGATCTGTGGCCCAAGCTGCAGTGCAGTGGCACGATCTCGACTCACTGAAACCTCTGCCTGCCAGGTTCAAGCAATTCTCTGCCTCAGCTTCTTGAGTAGCTGGGATTACAGGTGTGCGCCACAATGCCTGGCTAATTTTTTTTTTTTTTTTTTTTTTTTTTTGAGACAGTCTTGCTCTGCAGCCCAGGCTGGAGTGCAGTGGTGCGATCGTGGCTCACTGCAACCTCCAACTCCTGGGTTCAAGTGATTCTCCTGCCTCAGCCTCCTGAGTAGCTGGGATTACAGGTGCATGCCACCATGCTCAGCTAATTTTTGTATTTTTAGTAGAGACAGGGTTTTACCATGTTGGCCAGGCTGGTCTCGAACTCCTGACCTCAGATGATCTGCCCACCTCGGTCTCCCAAAGTGCTGGGATTACAGGCGTGAGCCACCGCACCTGACCTAACTTTTGTATTTTTAGTAGAGACAGGGTTTTACTACGTTGGCCAGGCTGGTCTTGAACTCCTGATTTCATGATCCACCCGCCTTGGCCTGCCAAAGTGCTGGGATTACAGGCATGAGCCACCACGCCCAGCTCCTCCTACTATTTCTTTTTTTACTTTTTTAAAAAATTGCCTTTTTGAGACAGGGTCTTGCACTGTCACCCAGGCTGGAATGCGGTGGCATGATCATGGTTCACTGCAGCATCAACCTGCTAGGCTCAAGTGATCCTCTGGCCTCAGCCTCTTGAGTAGCTGAGACCACAGGTTCATGCCACCACACCTAGCTAATTTTTTAACTTTTTATAGAGATGGGGTCTCTCTATGTTGCCCAGGCTGTTCTTGAACTCCTGGGCTCAAGCAATCCTCCCACCTCCCAAGTAACTGGGACCACAGGCACATGCCATCATGCCTGGGGTATCACCATGTCGCCCAGGCTGGTCTCAAACTCCTGGATGCAAGCGATCCTCCTGCTTCAGCTTCCCAAAATGCTGGGATAACAGGCATGAGCGACCACACCCAGCCAGGAAAGTGTGTACGGCTCTAAACAAGGCACACAAAGTCTCTTGAGTCCCCTCTTACCTTGCCTGTAGACTCCAGCTGCTAAACTGCTTCTCCCTGCCCTAAGTACACACAGATGCTCACAGTGGCTCTGCGAGGACTGCTCTTTGCCTTTGTTCATGCAACTCCAACTGTTTGAAAGACTCCTACCAACCTCTTTTTTTTTTTTCTTTTTTCCTGGAAAATTCTTTCTTTCTTTTTTTTCTTTCTTTTTTTTTTTTTTTTGAGATGGAGTCTCACCGTCGCCCAGGCTGGAGTGCAGTGGTGCAATCTTGGCTCACTGCAACCTCTGTCACCATGTTGACCAGGTTGGTCTCAAACTCCTGCCCTGAAGTCATCGGCCCATCTCAGCCTCCCAAAATGCTGGGATTACAGGCGTGAGCCACTGCGCCCTGTGGAAAATTATTTCTTTAGGTGCTACCTCCTTCAAGAAGCTCCAAAGTCTGTAATCCCAACACTTTGGGAGGCTGAGGCGGGCAGATCATGAGGTCAGGAGATCAAGACCATCCTGGCTAACACGGTGAAACCCTGTCTCTACTAAAAATACAAAAAAATTAGCCAGGTGTGGTGGCGGGTGCCTGTAGTCCCAGCTACTCCAGAGGCTGAGGCAGGAGAATGGTGTGAACCCAAGAATTGGAGCTTGCAGTGAGCCAAGATTGTGCCACTGCACTCCAGCCTGGGTGACAGAGCAAGACTCTGTCTCAAAAGAAAAAAAAAAAAGCAGCAGCAGCTCCATGGTTCCTTTCCTTCCTGTCCCAATTAAGGTTGGGACGAGAGTAATATCCCACTGTGTCCATTTCTATTATGGAAACTTATCTATACTGTATTATAATTGGCCATTTCCTTGTCTGTCCCCACACTGAACTGAACTCTTCAAGGGCTGAGACCGTATCATTCATTTCTGTGTCCCAAGCTCCTAAGACAGGGACCAGCATATAGTGCAAACTCAAAAGGTTTGGTTAATATCGAATAGCCTTGGCAGCCATGGACCCTGCATGTACCTTTTCACGAGGAGTTGGCAGGGGGTGTGCCTTGCTGCAGGTACGGTTTCTGTCGGAGCGGGAGATGGTGGAAGAGAGGGGAGAGGGCTGAGAACTCAGAATTTGAGGATCAGGGCAGAATAGAATGGAAGTGCAGGGTTCAAAAATTCCCCTACCCTGCTGGGATGTTGTGAAACCCTCGCTCTCTCCCCTCCAGGTTCCCCATCTCTCTCCCAGAACAAAGAGCATCTCCCTTGAAGCCTCACTCACCGGGTGTCTGTGCCTCAGGTCTTGGTGAAGAATGCTGGAAGTAGAGGACCTAGTCAGAGAAAGGACTATCCCCTTGGCCAGGAAGAGGTGTGGCCAGGGCAGACGGGGTAAAGGGATTCTCAGCCAGCAGTGAGGAGTGGGTACTGGGTTAGCGGGTAAGAGGGGCACTTCACAGGTCCTAGGGCTGGCTGTGAGATGGTCGAGATGGGCACAGACTCCTGGAGAGTTCAGCTAGGGGTGGGCGGGGTCAGGGACTGGAACCAGGCATGATGGGGGCTGCGGTTCTCTAGACACCATAGTCCTGAGGCAGGGGGTTACCACGTTTGGATATCTGAGTCGCTTGGTCTTGTGTCTGTTTTTTTTTGATGGGCACAGGGTTCAAGTGGCAACAAGCAGTGCACAAAGCCTCCTCCGTGAGTTCTGCACTGATCCGGGACAGGTATTCCTCAGAGCGAGACAACGAAGCCTGGGAAAGGAAAAGTCGGAGAGGTTCAGCCTGGGAGCTCCCACATGGAAGTGCTGGGTGTAGGAGTTCCCAGGCTGGGGCCTGTGGGTCCAAGGAGCTTGCTCTTGAAGGACTGGGCCTTGAGATTTAGCTAGAAGGCTCTGAATCTGGAGGAGTGGGGTTTGGTGGAGGTTTAGAGTCAGGGCCTAGTGTTGAGAGCTATGGGTCTGGGCTTCAGGACTCAGGGTTGAAGCTAGAGTCTCAGGGCTTGTGGCTCAGACCTGGGACGGGGTGCCTCTGCCTGGGAGGCCTTCACTTCATTACACTCCCACCTCTAGGGCCCCCTGCAGTGCTCACCGGACCTCCTCTCAAGGAGGGTGCAGCTTGAGACGGCCAGCTGCTCTTCTTCTCCCCCTCATTCCCCATCGGAGTGGACGCCATCCCCCTGGGAACAGTCGAGGCCTGTGTTGACCTGAGAAACCGGCCCGCTGTATCCCAGAACCCAGCTCACCACCATTCCCCGGGCCCAGGTTTAAACAAGGCCTTTAGAGGAACATCCCGCTGCCTCATTCTCTCTCTCAAGAAAAAAATAATAATAATAAACGTTGCTTTATATCTTCGGGAGTGAGAGGGAACTCCCGCAACCCCCTACCCCTCACCCCTTCGCCTGGTGGGCCTCTCGTTTTTTCCCTCTCAAGCCCCTTCCCAAGCTAAGGCAGCCAACTTCACGCCCCAGACCTGGCAGATGGGTGGAAACCTTGGGCTACTAGGCAGAAGGGGAGACGTGGAGGCCTAAGGACCTCTGGTATAGGTCGTGGGGGACGGGGAATGGGAGATGGGGAGGAAGGCTGGAAAAGGGGGAGCCGGCTCCGTGTTGCTACCGGCCGCTAAAAAACCCTTGGAGTCTGCGGAGGTTCCGCAGCCTCGTTGCTAGGAGATCAGGGGTTCTAGAACTAAAGACAGAGGAATTTCCTAGCTCGCCCCGTTTGCTCCTCCAGCCTCCCCTCAGTCCCCTCCAGTTGCCTCCTTGGGGGCAGTGACCCCAAGCGCCAGACGCTTGAGAAGTTTGGGAGGATGACGCAGGGTGGAGCCTGCGACCTAATCCTCCTATCACAAGGGGCACGCGAGAAGCCAGCCGGCTTCAGGGCGCTCTCTCTGGAGCCTCTCTAGCCGCCTGGAGCCTGCGAGAGCAAAGGCGGCTACAGACTTAGGGGGCGGGGAGAAAAGTGAGGACTGCACCAAATATCCTGGCCTCTCGCGGATGCAAAGACTCAGAAAGAGGAATTTTATCGCCTTATTTTTGTCTCCAGGAAGTCACACCCTCCAGAAAAGGAAAGCAGATATTTTTATTCGGCCTCTTTCTCTTTTGCTCTTTCCTTTTCCGTTTCTGCCTTTGCTCGACGTCAATGGTTCTTTCCTCCCTCTCCCCCTCTGCGCCTTGGTACGAGCCAAGGGAGAGGGGCGGAGGGAGGAAAAGGGAAAGGAAGCGAACAGGCCTTAAAGGGGCCGCAACTATTTTTTAAGCCACTTTTTCCTCTCTCCAATTTTGCAACGGCGGGCGCGGACAAGGAGGTTCCCGAAAGCCACGCGCAGCTGGAGCAGCGGCGACCGCAGCTGGAGGCCCGGAGCGCCTGCGGGGCCGGCAGAGGCGAGGGGGTTGCGGGTAGGAAGGGCGGGCTGCGCGCCCCGCCTGCGCCCTGCGCGTCTCGGGGCCGGCCCATGCTCCCGACGGCTGCGGGATTCAGCATCTGGGGCCGGGTTGGGGCGGCGGGGTCCAGGGCGCAGGTGGTGCGGCCGATGAGCCGGGCCGGAGGCTGAGGCCGCGCGACGGGGCTGGGACAGCGCTGGCATCTTCAGAGCAGGCCCGGGACAGCAAGGGAGGCGCTGCGATGCCAGACGAAAATATCTTCCTGTTCGTGCCCAACCTCATCGGTGAGTGCTGCCCGCGGCCCCGGGCCGGACTAGAGGGCGAGGGGCCTTGGCGGGCTCCCTAATCCTGCCCTGTTTCCCCGCGTCCCGTTCCAAGGTTATGCCCGGATTGTCTTCGCCATCATTTCTTTCTACTTCATGCCCTGCTGCCCCCTCACGGCCTCCTCCTTCTACCTGCTCAGCGGCCTGCTGGACGCTTTCGATGGACACGCTGCTCGCGCTCTTAATCAAGGTGACAGACACCCCTCTCAGCCAGCCTTGGGGCCCAACAACCCCCTGCTCCCTTCCCTGCCTCCTCAGGACCTCAGAGTCAGAGGGCTGTCATTTCCATCTCTGATAAAAGCAGAACAGGATGGCCTGGGGTTTTTTGTTTTGTTTTGTGTTTTGTTTTTGAGACAGCGTCTCGCTCTGTCACAGGCTGGAGTGCAGTGGTGCGATCATGGCTCACTGCAGCCCCCATCTCCTGGGCTCAAGTAATCCTTCCACTTCAGCCTCCTGATTAACTGGGACTACAGGCGCGTGTCACCACACCTGGCTAATTTTTAAATTTTTGTAGAGACTGAGTCTTGCAGTGTCGCCCAGACTGGTCCCCAGCTCCTAGCCTCAAGCGATCCTCCTGCCTTCCTCCCAAAGTGCTGCGCCCAGCAAGAATGGCCTGATTTTGTAGCAGAAGGGATTTAAGCTAGCTCTTGAGAACTCACTGCTTGTGAGAGGTGTGGATTAGCAAGACATGACGTGGCCATGGCGCTGCTGGAGGTCTCTCTGAACACAAGTCCATTCAGGCCAGGGGCGGTGGCTCACGCCTGTAATCCCAGCACTTGGGAGGCCGAGGCGGGCGGATCACGAGGTCAGAAGTTCGAGACCAGAGTGACCAACATAGTGAAACCCTGTCTCTGCAAAAAATACAAAAATTAGCTGGCTTGGTGACGTGTGCCTGTAATCCCAGCTACTCAAGAGGCTAAGGCAGGAGAATTGCTCGAACCTGGGCGGCGGAGGTTGCAGTGAGCCGAGATTGTGCCATCACACTCCAGCCTGGGCGACAGAGCAAGACTCTGTCTCGGGGGGACAAAAAAAAGTCCTATCAACAGGTGTTTCCTGGAGGCCTACTGTGTGCCCTGCATAAGTAGTTGGGGTTCCAGAAGGCATGCTTAGAGGGAGGATGGAGAGGGACGGGTGATGGCTCTTGGAGGGTTGACTAATTTTTTAATCTGTTCTTCAGACCCAACTCTAAGGCTTCCCCCGAGGCATCAAGTCTCTTTTTCTAGCCCTGGAGCCTTGGTTCTGGGGTTGATGAGCTGCAGACATAGCTTTCCTCTCCTCCTACCCTGTTCCCTTCACTCTCATGCCTTTCTCAGTTCATGCCATGGTGACCTTTGCCCACTAACCTCACACACAGCCTGTTTTCCAACCTGCGTTCCTCCCCAGGCAGGTGGACACTTCCAGTCTTCGTTTACACCCTGCATGAGAGTGATAAACCAAATATGGACACCTGTCCTGCAGTCTCTGTGCCATAATAGCCCCTGCCCACCTAATCTTCCAGGAACCCGGTTTGGGGCCATGCTGGACATGCTGACGGACCGCTGCTCCACCATGTGCCTGTTGGTCAACCTGGCCCTGCTGTACCCTCGAGCCACGCTGTTCTTCCAACTCAGCATGAGTTTGGATGTGGCCAGTCACTGGCTGCACCTCCACAGGTCTGCCGCGATGCTGGGGGCCTTGGCCAGTTAGAGACACTACAGTGGGGTGGGCTGAGCTTAGATGGAAGGGTGTCTGGGATGGCACTAGGCGTCCTGGAAGGGCTCCATTTTAGCTCTGCTTTGTAGAAGGACCCCAGGCAAACACGCCTCTCTTTAAAGCTTCAGTCATGTTTACAGTTGCATTAAGCAATTCTTAGGACTCTTCTGGCTGGATATTCTAGGATTCCAAATAGGTGACAGCTCATAGGAAGGGGCATAGGAGCTTTCAAATGTGGTATTTGAATCCTGACTCTGCCCCGAAATAGGTAACTGGCTTTGGGCAGGATATTGGTCCTTAGCCATGCCCAGTTTTCCATCTGTACAATAGGTGTTAACATGAGGATCGGATGCACGGTAGTGGTCATGAAACCTCATGGGTTCCCCTGTTTTCTCCCTAAGTTCTGTGGTCCGAGGCAGTGAGAGTCACAAGATGATCGACTTGTCCGGGAATCCAGTGCTTCGGATCTATTACACCTCGAGGGTAGGCATTTCCTGCACACCCCGCCCTTCAGGCTCTTGGCTGTGGGAAGCCCTGGGCTGAACCCTGGTCCTAGACTAGGAGAAGGCAAGGGCACAGAGCAGGGCCTGCCCAGTCACTCCAGGAGGAGGGGCCTGTAAGCTGAGGTGTGGAGGAGGAGGATTGGTGGGGAAGGCCTGTGTGAATTACTCCAGGGAACAAGTGGGAATGAGGCCTGCAAAGAGGAGGGACTGAAAGAGGAGAGGGAGATAAGCCAGAGAGGTTTGCAGGGCTGGAGTGTGGACTTGATTTCAGGAACACAGGCAGCCTCTGGAAGGATTTTTTTTTTTTTTTTTTTGAGACGGAGTCTCGCTCTGTCACCCAGGCTGGAGTGCAGTGGCCGGATCTCAGCTCACTGCAAGCTCTGCCTCCCGGGTTCACGCCATTCTCCTGCCTCAGCCTCCCGAGTAGCTGGGACTACAGGCGCCTGCCACCTCGCCCGGCTAAGTTTTTGTATTTTTAGTAGAGACGGGGTTTCACTGTGTTACCCAGGATGGTCTCGATCTCCTGACCTCGTGATCCGCCCGTCTCGGCCTCCCAAAGTGCTGGGATTACAGGCTTGAGCCACCGCGCCCGGCCTGGAAGGATTTTTAAAAAGATAATGGCTAGGCATGGTGGCTCATGCCTGTAATCTCAGTGCTTTGGGAGGCTGAGGTGGGGGGATTGCTTGAGACCAGGAGTTTGAGACCAGCCTGGGCAACAAAGTGAGACTCTGTTTCCACACACACACACACACACACACACACACACACAAACCCTTGAATTAGCTTAGCCAGGCACAGTGGTGCACGCCTGTAGTCTCTACTTAGGAGGCTAAGGTGGAAGGATTGCATGAGACCAAGGTTTTTTTTTTTTTTTTGAGACAAAGAGTCTCACTCTGTCACCCAGGCTGGAGTTCATTGGCGCGTTACCGGCTCAGTGCAACCTCTGCCTGCTGGGTTCCAGCGATTCTTGTGCCTCAGCCTCCTGAGGACTACTAGGAGTCTAGGACTACTAGGACTACGGGCATGCGCCACCACGTTCGGCTAATTTTTGTATTTTTAGTAGAGAGGGATTTCGCCATGTTGGCCAGGCTGGTCTCAATCTCCTGACCTCAGGTGATCTGCCTGACTCAGCCACCCAAAGTGCTGGGACCACAGGCATGAGCCACCGCGCCTGGCTGAGACCAGGAGTTTTGAGGCTGCAGTGCTATGATCATACCACTGCATTCCAGTCTGGATGACAGAGCGAGACCCTGTCTCTAAAAAAGAAAAAAAATAATAATCTGCTGAGATTGCACCCTCATTAGTGCTGGGGGGTAGGGGGTGGCACACGCCTGCCTCTTGCTAATGTGGTCTGTTTGCTGTGTGTGCAGCCTGCTCTGTTCACCTTGTGTGCTGGGAATGAGCTCTTCTACTGCCTCCTCTACCTGTTCCATTTCTCTGAGGGACCTTTAGGTATGAGATGAGGGGCGGGGCAGGAGGATGGGAGGGGGATCTGGGCTGCCCAGGGAGATGGAGGCCCCCTCCTTCGGGCCCCGAACTTCCCTGCTGCCTTCCTGCAGTTGGCTCCGTGGGACTGTTCCGGATGGGCCTCTGGGTCACTGCCCCCATTGCCTTGCTGAAGTCGCTCATCAGTGTCATCCACCTGATCACAGCTGCCCGCAACATGGCTGCCCTAGACGCAGCAGACCGCGCCAAGAAGAAGTGACGCAGGAGCCCCGGGTCCTGGCTGCCCACCTACCCTGGGAGTCTTGCTGTGCCACACAGCTCCCCACCCGCTGCTAGGAGGTCCCAGTCTCACGCCTTCCTCATGTGTTGTTCTACCTGCTGGGATGGGGGTCAGCCTCTCTTTGGTGACGTCATGTTCTCTGGGATCCCAAGAACCCAGGCCTCAAATCAGGGAGGTTACGCGGGAGGCCCCATGCATACAGGCGGTGCTCCTGGGGTGCCAGCACCGGGCAGTGTCATGCCCTGCTGGCTCAGCCCTGGGGTCCGAGATGCTAGGGACAGTTGAGTGAGGGAGATGGTGTGAGGGCCGCGTTTCCCGAAAGGCAGGGGAGTCAGACCTCCGCCCCCAGCTGGAGCAAGTCTGGGGCACCGTGCCTGGGAGGGAAGAAACCGTCCACAGCCTTCCCCGTCGCCGGCTTCTCTGTCCTGCCTACCCTGGTCCTGGCGGGACTTCACTATTTGACTTGCTTTCCTTTCAGATATTCTTGGCTCAGGGCCTGGGTTGAGGGAGCTTAGGGAAGGACGTCCGTCTGGGTGCTTTTCCTCCAGTTTGCTGGCTGGCTTCTCCGTCTATCCACAGTGACCTCACAGAGAGGCCCTCCTGCCTCCCACGCTCATGCAGTGTCCCCCACTTGTTTGATCTCACTGACCGTCTACATGTATTTATATTCTTGGTATTTTCTACCCTCACTGGAATGTAAACTCCATGAAGGCACAAACTTTTCTTGTTCCCTTCTGTATCCCTAGAATAAGACCAACTTGAACCTGGCATATAGTAGCTGCTTAATAAATATTCGTCTGTCAGTGAGTTGGTTTCTCAGAGTGTGGTCCTTAGACTGCCTGTGGAATATTTCTATTTCTCTTTTTTCTTTCCTTTTCTTTTCTTTCTTTCTTTCTTTTTTTTTTTTTTTTCAGAGACAGAGTCCTACTCTGTTGTCCAAGCTGGAGTGCTCACTGTAGCCCCAAACTCCTGACCTCAAGTGATCCTCCCACCTTAGCCTCCCAAAGTGCTGGGATTACAGGCGTGAGCCACCAAGCCTGGCTGGATATTTCTTTAAAATGCAAATTCAAGCCAGGTGTGGTGGCTCACGCCTGTTATCCCAGCATTTTGGAAGGCCAAGGTTGGGTGGATTGCTTGAGTGCAGGAGTTCGAGGCCAGCCTGACCAATATGGTGAAACCCCATCTCTACAAAAAATACAAAAATTAGTCGGGTGTGGTGACATGTGCCTGTGGTCCCAGCTACTCAGGAGGCTGAGGTGCGAGGATGGCTTGAGCCTGGGAGGCAGGAGGGAGAGGTTGCAGTGATCCATAATAGTGCCATTCCAGCCTGGGAGGCAGAGCCAGGCAGTCTCAAAAAAACAAAACAAAAAAACAACTTTGGCCCGTCTTGGAGGCTCACACCTGGCCTGTAATCCTAGCACTTTGGAAGGCTGAGGTGGGAGGATCACTTGAGCCCAGGAGTTCAAGACCAGCCTGGGTCACATGGCAGGACTGCGTCTCTAAAAAAACAAAAAAAAAATTAGCCAAGTGTGGTGGTGTATGCCTTAGTCCCAGCTACTGGGGAGGCTGCAGTGAGAGGACTGAATGAGCCTGGGAGGTCAAGGCTGTAGTAAGCCATGATCATGCTACTGTACTCCAGCCTGGACGACAGAACAAGATGTCTCAAAAAATAAAATAGGTGCAACTTCTTGGACCCTGCAGCCAACCTTCAGAGTTAGAGGCTCTAGGGATGGGCCCAGAAGCCTGCAATTTGAATGCCGGGGAATTCTTCCAGTAATGTTGAGAAACACTGTTCCCTCTTTTTGTGGGCTCTTATACTAGGCATTGTTCTGGGCATCTATCCCCTGCCATCTGTGGTTTTTAAACTAGTGTACCATATGCCAGACTCTGTGCTGGGGGTTCTTTGCAGATGTTACTCATTTTATCTGCATAATAGCTTAGCCAAGTGGCCCAAGAGGCCCCCGTGTCCAAGAGAGCGGAAATTTACCAGACATGTACTGAGCCTCAATTCCTGTACTAGGCCCAGGGGATTCACTGGGTACTGGGCAGCTGGCTTCCCCTACAACAACACATGAAAGTGCTCGCTGGGGGTGGGAGTAGAAGACACCTAGGACCTGATCTAGGGTTTGGTGAAGGGGCTGGGTATCCCATGTAGAAGGCTGGTAGGGATTGGAGAGGGTTAGTGCAGAGGAGATTGGTTCTTAGCTGAGGGAATGGCATGGGAAGGCAGGGAGACCAGAGAGGCCCCTGGACTCTGCACCTCTTTCTCCTTCCTGTCAGCTCTTCTTCCAGCATGGTGGGTCCTCTGAGCACTCTCCGGCCCCAGAGCACAGAGCCCTTGGTCCGCCTGGGTCCCACGTCCCTGACTGGCTCCTGGGCTCCTTGATTCTAACCATTTACAGTGACATCAGAAATTGGAACAGATCTAGGCCGGGCAGAGTGGCTCACACCTGTAATCCCAGAACTTTGGAAGCCCAAGGGGTTTTGAGGTCAGGAGTTAAAGACTAGCCTGGCCAACATGGTGAAACCCCATCTCTACAAAAAAATACAAAAATTAGCCAGGTATGGTGGTACACGCCTGTAGTCCCAGCTACTCAGGAAGCTGAGGTGGGAGGATTGCTTGAACCCAGGAAGTGGAGGTTGCAGTGAGCCGAGATCATGCCACTGTACTCCAGCCCAACCAAAGAGCGAGCCTCCGTCTTAAAATAATAATAATAATAATATTGGTGCACAAAGCAGGTGTGTTTCCAGTGCATCAGGCATCCCCTCATCCCCGCCAACCTGGTCTGCTCCAGTCAAGGTGGGTAAAAAAAAAAAAAGAAACAGATCTGGATCACAGGGCCTGGAGCACTAAGTGCTGGGGGTTGGGGGCTGGGAGAGCTGGTGAGAGGCGACGCAGAAGCCAGCTGGGGCAGCCTAGGAGCCCAGAGGACTTTAAAATTTTATTGTGGGGGCCGGGCGCGGTGGCTCAAGCCTGTAATCCCAGCACTTTGGGAGGCCGAGACGGGTGGATCACGAGGTCAGGAGATCGAGACCATCCTGGCTAACACGGTGAAACCCCGTCTCTACTAAAAAATACAAAAAAAAAAAAAAAAAACTAGCCGGGCGAGGTGGCGGGCGCCTGTAGCCCCAGCTACTCGGGAGGCTGAGGCAGGAGAATGGCGTGAACCCGGGAGGCGGAGCTTGCAGTGAGCTGAGATCCGGCCACTGCACTCTAGCCTGGGCGACAGAGTGAGACTCTGTCTCAAAAAAAAAAAAATTAAAAAAACAAAACAAAACAAAACAAATTTTATTGTGGAGACAGGGTCTCTCTATGTCACCTGGGCTGGAGTGCAGTGGCATGATCATAGCTCACTGCAGCCTCGACCTCTCAGGCTCAAGCAGTCCTGCCTCAGCCTACTGAATAGCTGGGACTGCAGACATGCACCACCATGTCAGGCTAATTTTTATTTTTTTCTGCAGAGATGGGGGTGTCACTGTGTTGTACAGGCTGGTCTCAAACTCCTGACCTCAAGTGATCCTCCTGCCTTGGCTTCTCAAAGCGCTCGAATTACAGGTGTGAGCCACTGTGTCCAGCCCCTTTCCATATCTTAACACTCACTTTGTGTATGTCCTGTTCTGCTAACACAAGCTACCCTGCTCTAAGTGCTATTTGCATGCATTATCTTATCTCACGATTGTACAGTTGTACACAATACGACAGCCCTGTTACTGTCCTCATTCCCTAGAGAGGAAACAGGCCCAGAGAAGTGGCAGCCTGGCCAGTCTGGTTCCAGAGCCTGTACCTGAACACTTAACTGTACACAGCGCTTTCCCACCAGCGGGCTTCTGAACGGCTGCATAGAAGGCCGGGCGTAGGCCGGGCGCGGTGGCTCACGCCTGTAATCCCAGCACTTTGGGAGGCCGAGACGGGCGGATCACAAGGTCAGGAGATTGAGACCACAGTGAAACCTCGTCTCTACTAAAAATACAAAAAATTAGCCGGGCGCGGTGGCGGGCGCCTGTAGTCCCAGCTACTCAGGAGGCTGAGGCAGGAGAATGGCGGGAACCCGGGAGGCCGAGCTTGCAGTGAGCTGAGATCGCGCCACTGCACTCCAGCCTGGGCAACAGCGTGAGACTCCGTCTCAAAAAAAAAAAAAAAAAGAAGGCCGGGTGTGGTGGCAGGCACCCGTAATCCCAGCTACTTGGGAGGCTGAGGCAGGAGGATCGCTTGAACCCGGGAGGCAGAGGTCATAGTGAGCTGAGATCACACCATTGCACTCCAGCTCCAGCCTAGGTGACAGAGTGAGACTCTGTCTCAAAAAAAAAAAAAAAAAAAAAAATCAGTTTAACCTGGTCCTGCCACTGTGAATGGTGCTGTGGTAAATCATCTCGCACTTTTTGGGGGACACGTATAGGATGAACGTTGAGGGGCTTAAAGCAGGACAGTGACAGGGACAGACCTGTGCTTGAAGAAGCTATTGCTGCACAAAACTGAGGTGTGGCAGGTGCAGTGGCTCACGCCTGTAATCCCAGCACTTTGGGAGGCCAAGGCGGGCGGATTACGAGTTCAGGAGATAGAGATCATCCTGGCTAACACGGTGAAACGCCATCTCTACTAAAAATTACCTGGGCGTGGTGGCACGTGCATGTAATTCCAGCTACTCTGGAGGCTGAGACAGGAGAATCGCCTGAACCCGGGAGGCGGAGGTTGCAGTGAACCAAGATTGCCCTACTGTACTCCAGCCTGGCGACAGATGAGTCTCCGTCTCAAATAAACAAAAAACAAACAAAAGAAAAAACTGAGGTGCGTTTCCAGCTCATGAGGTACCTCCTACCTGGCCTGGTGCAGTCCAGGTAGGAGACTGGATCAGGGGCTGTCCCTGCGCCTGCCCTGCAGCCCTTTCTCCTTCCTGTCGGCTCTTCCTTCAGCACAGTGAGTCCTCTGAGCACTCTCCAGCCCCACAGCACAGAGCCCTTGGCCTGCCTGACTCCAGTGTCCCTAACTGGCTCCTGGGCTCCTCGGCTCTAACCATTTACAGTGACATCAGAAGACTGACTGTGTAGATCCAGCTACACTGAGTTGTTTTGTTTTGAGACAAGGTCTCACTCTGTCGCCCAGGTTGCAGTGCAGTAGCTCCATCTTGGCTCTTCACAACACCCATCTCCTGGGCTCAAGTGATCCTCCAGCTTCAGCCTCTTGAGTAGCTGGGACTACAGGCGGCACCACTACCCCCAGCTAATTATTTTTGTATTTTTTGTAGAGATGGGGTCTCCTTATGTTGCTCAGGTCGGTCTTGAATTCCTGGGCTCAAGTGATCCTCCCACCTCAACCTCCCAAAGTGCTGCAATTATAGGTATGAACCACCATGCCTGGTCACATATGATCTTTTTTTTTTTTTTGAGACAGAGTTTCACTCTTTTGCCCAGGCTGGAGTGAAGTGGTGCAATCTTGGCTCACTGCAACCTCTGCCCCTGGGGTTCAAGCGATTCTCCTGCCTCAGCCTCTTGAGTAGCTGAGGTTACAGGCACCTGCCACCACGCCCGGCTAATTTAGTATTTTTAGTAGAGACGGGGGTTTCTCCATGTTGGTCAGGCTGGTCTCGAACTCCTGACTTCAGGTAATCCACCCGCCTCAGCCTCCCAAAGTGCTGGGACTGTAGGCGTAAGCCACTGCGCCCGGCCATATGTGATCTTAAAAAAGAGAGTTGGGGAGGAGAGTGTGAGCATGGCAGTCTAAAAGAATCTGCACCCGAGCATCCTGAGGCTTGTAGGGTAGCACTGAAGACTCACAGGAGGGCTTTTAAGTCCCCTTGGCCTACAGGGAC